TTTCTCTTTGTCAGCTGGTCACAACAGGGAAACAACTTAATCTCTGAAACCTGATACTTTTATGATTTCCAGCAAGAATCGCTGTTCCTTGGTGGCGGCACGCCAGAACTATCACTGTAATGCTACAAACAAGTTCATCACAGTTTGAGCATATACCACTGACGAAGAATTATAAAAATATGTACCAACAAGGGAAGTCACCATCATAAAACAGACCATTCTAAACCATCACAACACACAACAAAACACAACCAGAGAAAGAGAGAACATAACAGACACCATTCTATCACAGTGCTCATTCCAATTTAATAACAACTGCTACAAACAAGAAGAAGGGCTCACAAATGACAGCATCATCCTCTGCAATATTTTCACAATTTATAGAGGACAACACCCACATAAGGCAAACGACATTAACCCAAACTTACAATTTACCATGTAAAAGGAACAAAACAACAAAATTAATTTGCTCAACATTACAATACATAGAAAAGAAAGTTGCCTATCATACAACATATCCAAATGCATGGATTTCCCCTGTACAACATAGAGGTAAACAACAACAAAAGTATTTCAGATCAAAGCATGGGAATAAAAATGACACGGGAAGACGGAGGAAACAAAACATCCCATACCCATACACCAACGAAATACACAACCAGAACAGCAGCACCAGGTTAGGAAAAAAAAAACAGACATATGCACACAGAGGTTGAAATCATACACAAAACAAATTCCACAATATCCTACTGCTTGAGTTACCCAGAAAAGAATACTTTTATAATTAATATGCTATTATTTTAACTACAATTTTAATCACATAAGAGTAAAATCCCTATATACAAAAGAGGCATTACATAAAACATAAAAACTGGAAATAAACACTCCCATTCTGTAAATACCGTAAAAATCTATCGAGGACTAGCAGATCAGAGAAAAATGTGTAAGTCAGAAAAGCTGTTCATATCTAAAGCTTGCCACGAAAATCTACAAAACATGTAGTACTTAATACACGACCTACAGTGTAGCTATACTAACATGATGGTGACGAAAATATAATAAAAGAAACTATTAATCTCCCTTTGAAAACAATAAATTCGTGGCAACACTAAACTAATGCCATCTTGCAATAAAAAAACCATAAACCAACGAGAGGCATTCAGATTGCAACAGTCAATATAAGAAAGTGTATTTGGATATGATAATCCTAAGTCCGATAATAATTTTCCACAGTTCTGCAGCTTAGAAACATATTACTTACCTTGTTTAAACGTTCGAGAACTTAGAGAGTAAAGAATAACGCTGTCAACTCGCAACAAAACTCCAACTGTCATACATTCAAAACTAACAATGCTACCAAGCTAACAATGCTATCTAAGGTTTCAATTAATGGAACAAACATATTCTTATATGCAGACGATACAAGTATAATAGTGACTAATCCAGAATACGCTGACTACAAATCAACCATGACCAGAATATTTTGCAATATTAATACATGGTTCAGAACCAATCTGTTAAAATTAAATATTCATAAAACCCACACTCTTCAGTTCACTTTAATGAACTATGAGGATCATAATATCCATAATATTTATCAAAATTTACCAACTAACTTAGAGTGTATCAAATTTTTAGGCCTAAATATTGATAATAGGCTGTGTTGGAAGAATCGTATTGATTACCTTGTTACTAAATTGAGTTCGTCTTGCTTTATCATGAGAACAGTTAAGCCTATGATGTCATTAAGTAGCTTAAGAATGATTTATTTTGCTTATATAGATTCTGTGATGACATACGGAATTATCTTCTGGGGCAGTTCCTCATACATGACAAGACTTTTTACGATCCAAAAGAAAGTTATAAGGATTATGATGGGATTAAATAAAAGAGATTCATGTAGAGACTCTTTCAAGGAAATGAAAATTCTGCCTTTGTGTTCGCAATACATATATTCCTTAATGCAACGCACTATAAATAACATGCATTTGTTTACAAGAAATACAGAGGTTCATAATATTGGTACCAGACAGAATGTTAACCTATTTCCCCCTAGTACTTCTCTTACTAAAGTTCAAAAGGGTGCATATTATTCTGGTGTAAAAATCTTCAATCATCTACCTAAAGAACTGAAACAATTATCTAATAACCAGAAATCCTTTGAATGTGCCCTAAAAAGATTTTTACATGCTAACTCTTTTTATGCATTAAATGAGTATTTTAATTACAAATGTACATAAATTTGAATGCTTAATGTCACATTTTAATATAGTTAGTATGGGAGATGTGAGGGGTTGTATTGTGGTTACTAGTGACTTATGTCTGTTAATCAGGATATTATCTTTTTGCCTCATATTGTTGTACGTGTTAGACAGTTAATGTGGGTGATCTTGGTTGTGTGGTTTGTGTTACTTTGTGTATGTGTTTGATGACTATTTCCGCATCCTGGGTCTGTTCCCTGTATAGATGTTTATGGAAAGTGGAGGATGTGTATGTATATATATATGACGAGTCCTGTATCAGTGTTTTTTTATTTGTGGGAAAATGAATTAAAGAAAGCATTTATCTATTTGGGTAATCTGAATGAAATTGTATTAATTCTAAGTTTTTATAGTAATGCACTTTTTAAATTATGTTTAGTAACTACAATTGTAATAAGCTTCTTGTTTTTGTTTTTTTTTTCTATTGCCTATGTTACTTGACTAGTGTCTGTATTATTATTATTGTTATTATTTTAGTTGTGTGACTTGGGTAATTTATTACATGTATACATCTATTATCAAAGGGACTATTTCCACATCTTAGGTTTTTTGCCTGTATAGATATATGGAAAATAAAGGAAATGAATGAATGAATGAATGAATGAACCAACCAGCAATGGACAGTTAAAATCAATCATCACAGATTATTTACATACACGGAATAGTAATCTAGCCGAGGCAGCCAGGGTTTACAAGTAAAAGAAGAACGTCACAGGCAGGGAGTAGAAACTGACATAAGAGAAGGGGAAACAGTGAACAGAGAGCCATTAAAAACCAATTTGAATCCCACAATTATATGTCGTTTTTGTCGAGCCTCGTCTAGTGATGACGGTGCTGATTGGAGACCCTTAAAAGTGCCGTTTCCCCCTGATGGGGTCTCTACTTTGACATAGTGGAGAGGCTCGCGTTTTCAAATGACTGTGATATCGATGTCGGCGGTAGCAAAGCTACTGGTTGGGCCACACATTCCCAACAGGTCAACAGAGATTACCCAGACTAAAAGAGATACCCTGGTCCTCCAGGTTGGGAGTTGGGCGAGAGGCTAACGACCTCTCACCGTAAAAAAATACAAATGTTTCGAAACTTGGAACCAAGCCTCGGAAACCTCAACAGAATGAAAATGACAATTGGCAAAGAATATGGACTATGCTCTAGGTCAGTGGTTCTCAAACTGTGGGGCGCGACCCCCAGTGGCGGGGGTGCAAAGGGCTTGAAAAGGGGGCGCAGCATACTTTCCCACAGATACAAATTAAAACTGCCCTAAATCAACTAGAAAAGTAACAAAAAATAAAAATGCATAAAGAAAAACTTATGATGAGTACAGGCTTATGAATTTCAAAATAACTAATAATTATTCTCTTTACCGGCAATTATAAAACGGGTATGCCAGAGACAGCGTTGATAGTTCATCAGCAGCTGCATCCTCTGAAGTCTAGACATCTTAAAATGCTGTGTGAGAAAATGGGTGCCGAACACACTGCTATGTTGTTTTTTAGTGATGCTCGATGTCTTTCAAGAGGCAAGGTATGAAAGAGAATGTTTAAGCTGAGGCGTGAGGTGTTCTGTTTTTTAAATGGGGAAAATCACTCACGGGCAGACAGTTTCAGCAACAAGGATTTTTTTATTGAAAATGGCTTACCTCACAGATATATTTGAGAAACTAAATATCCTCAACACTTCACTTCAAGGGAGTGAGGCAACTGTACGTTCTTGGAATGACAAAGTGAAGGCATTCATGAGAAAATTAAGAGCTCTGGAGAAACAGTATGGAAAGTGACATGCTAGACATTTTCCCTACTCTAGTGTCAATGGTACAAGACACTGATAACCCGGTGCTTCCAATGGACATAAAAAGCTGCCTACTTGAACATCTCATAATGTTGAAAGTTCATTTTGAGAAATACTTTTGCAATGATTTTGATAAATTTAATTGAATTAAAAATCCATTCGAAAATGCTCCTGGGCCATCATCTCTGAATGTAAATGAGCAAGAACAACTCATCGATCTCATTAGTGATATTTCATTAAAAAGTAAATTTAAGGAATTGTCTTTGTTGGAGTTCTGGATTCATATTGGCAAGGAATTCCCCACTTGGAGCCAAAAGGCATTCGAGATACTGATTCCTTTCGCAACAACTTACTTATGCGAGACAGGCTTTTCTGCTTTGGCAGCTATAAAGTCAAACTATCGTTCAAGGCTAAACATTGCTAAAGAAGTTAGAGTGGCCATTTCTGATATTACACCACGTTTTGATAAACTTGGTTCTCAAAAGCAGGCCCATCCATGACACTGAACTTTGACATTTAAATGTTTGATTTTCTTTGCAGAAAAAATTAAACACTCGTTAGTTAAATATGGTTTCATTTCAATACAAAAAAATTTGGTTAATTGCAAGTGTTAAAACTAATTTATATTGTAGGCCTAATATTGTGATACTTTAATTTCGAGTAAAAAAGCTGCTAAATAGTATGTAGAAAAACACAAAATAAAATGAATAAAATGTCAAACATACAATGACTTCTATTTTGATTAAAAAAAACAGGCTGGGGGCCTGAGAGTATTTTCTCTTATTAAGGGGGGGCTCAGAGGTAAAAAGTTTGAGAACCACTGCTCTAGGTGCATGGAATGTGAAAACCCTCAATAAACCGGGTGCCATGAAATCAGTACTAGAACAGATAGATAAGTACAATATGAAAATCACAGCCATACAGGAAATTAGATGACTGGGTAAAGGAATCATGGACTTAAAGAAACATACTATATGTTACAGTGGTAAAGCAGAAGGCAATAAGGAATATGGTGTAGCCTTTGTAATAGAACAAGAATTTAAAAGTGCAATAATAGACTTTAAACCAATGAGTGAAAGAATTTGCACTTTGAGAATTAGAACAACATTTTTCAATATGACATTGATGAACGTACACACACTTACAGAAGAAAAAGAAGAGGAGGTCAAAGACTATTTCTATCAACAAATGGAAGGGACATATGATTCGATACCAAGTAATGACATAAAGGTTATTTTAAGGGATCTTAACACCAAAACAGATAAAGAGAAGGAATACAGAGGAGTAATTGGGACAGAAAGTTTACACGATATAACCAACCATAATGGAATAAATTTAATAGATTTTGCAGAAAGTAAGAACTTGATCATCAGGTCTACATACTTCCTGCAGAAAAATATACATAAAAGGACATGGGCAGCACCAGATGTGGTAACCTTCAATCAAATAGATCATGTCCTCATGGGGAAGAGATTTGCGATGAATATCCTGGATGTAAGAACATTAAGAGGGGCAAACTGTGATAGTGATCATTACTTAGTACAGGTTAAATAGAGATGTAAAATAAGTTGTCAGAGGTCCAAGCAGTATGAGAACTGTAAGAAATTTCATATTGACAAGATTACGGAGGGTCATAAGAGGGAAATATTTCAAAATAAAATTAAAGAAATTAATGACAATGGAACAAATAAAGAAGTAACAGTAGAAGGGATATCGGTGATTTTAAAACCTCAATAATTACAGAAGTCGAGAGGACTCTGAGATGTCAAGAGAAACAGGATAATAGAGAATGGTTCAACGAGGAATGTAGGGAGATTATAAACCTTAAGAATAAGAAATATATGGATTATATGGAAAGACCAACAAGAGCAAGAAATGAGGCTTATGAAGAAGCAAGAAGGAAAGCAGACAAGAATTTGCTGGAAAAAGAAACGAGCCTTTCTAAATGAGCAATTACTGCAAATGGAAGAAGACTTCGAAAATAACAAAACAAAAATGCCTTTGGTCGAATGAAATATATGTAGGAAGGTTTCGAACCAAAAACAAAATGTATCCAAGACAAAAAAAGGGCTTCTAATAAATAATAAAACAGAGATTATGAATACATGGAAAGAATATTTTGAGCAATTATTAAATCATAATCAGAATATGGAAAATAACGAGGACAATGAAGAAGAAAATACAGGCGATGGAGAAGGGGAAGAGGGAGAGATAATAAGAGCCCCCAACAAAGGAAGAAGTGGAAGAAGCATTAAAGGAACAAGAACTAAATAAAGCACCAGAAGGAGATAACGTACCAGCAGAATTATTGAAGGCAGGAGGACAAGAAAGAATAACAGTACTCCACAGAATTATAAATAAAGTGTGGGCTAGAATAAAAGATACCAGAAGATTAGGAAAGAGCATTATTTGTCCCATATTTAAAAAAGGGGATAAATTAACATGCAGTAATTATAGAGTTATGTCATTACTAATGACAGCATATAAAATTTTAACAAGGATACTAAAAAAGAGGCTGGATCCATTTATAGAAAAAAATAATAGGAGAATATCAATCAGGATTTCAACCCAATAGGTCAACAATAGACAATTTATTCTCCCTGAGACAAATAATGAAGAAATGCTGGGTATTTAATACAGATATTTACCTATGCTTGGTGGTCTCCGTAGTCTAGGGGTAACATTCCCACCTCATGACTTGAGGTACGTGGGTTCAAACCTGGCAGAGGTCGTGGAATTTTTAAGGGCGGAAAAAATTCAGGGAACAAGTCCTCCGGGAGGGACTTTAAGCCGTGGGTCCCGTGTCGTAGAGTTACGGCACGTAAAAGAACCTCGAGTCTCTAGGAGACCTCTGAGCTAAATTAGGCAAATCTTCCCGCCCACGTAGTTTCCAATGCCTCTGGTAGATGGGGAAAGTATTAGGTACCACTGCCAGATGAGGACCGCAACCTCGCTGACAGAAAAGGACTAATTATCAGATACCACTGCCAGTAGAGGGCCGACCTCGCTAGCAGAAAGGGCTGATAGTGGGCACCAGTACCGGTAGGGTATGGAGACAGTAGAAATTAAAGGGGGACACACAATGGACCAATAACTGGTCTAAGTGCATGGGGAAACCCACCTCCTCTAACAATGAATGAATGAATATTTACCTATGCTTCAGAGATTTTAAACAAGCATATGATACAATAATAAGGAAGAAATTAAGGATCATTGTGTCCACTTTTGGTATTCCAACAAAACTAAGTAGAATAATTAACTTAACCATGACAGAAACAATCAATCAAGTTAAAATCCAAAAACAGTTAACGGACAAATCAAGGATTAAAACGGAGATAGTTTGGCACCATCACTATTTAATTTGGTAGTGGAATATATAGTGAGGAAATGTAATGTAGACACAAGGAACACAATAGCGTATATAATGGCATATGAGGATGATGTGGAACCTCGCTTAACGAGCACCTCCCATAAGGAGCAAAACAAATTGTAACAAAAATGACTCGCTTAACAAGCAATGTTTCACATAACAAGTGATGAGAGGGGAAGTCTCAGATTGTGCGCTTGCTACAACAGTCTGTGTTTCGCACTCTTTCTGCTAGCATATTAATGTCCCTTGTGATCACACATTTTTCCAAACTTTTGTTCAGACATATTATTTGTGATTTTTTTCTACAAAGTTTAATAACCCTTGCAAAAACGTCCCCGGAGAGAAAGCCTCAAAAAGACAGCCATAAGAGAATAAAAATAACCGTAGAAATGAAACGCAGAATCATTGAAAGCGAGAACGAGGTGTGAGCGTGACTGATCTAGCACGCACATACAGTCGGTCTGCATCAACAATGTGCACTATTCTCAAGAGCAAGGACAAGATTAAGGAGATAGATGGTTCAAAGGGAGTGATGAGAACATCTACACAACGGTTATGTATTCTCGACGATGTTGAAAGATTGTTCTTCATGTTGATAAACGAAAAGCAATTGCAAGGCGACACTATTAACGAGAATATCATTTGTGAGAAGGCAAAAGTGATTTTCATCGACCTCATTAAGAAGACGCCAGGATCATCAATGGCCAAAGAAGAAGCATTTAAGGGAAGCTGTGGGTGGTTCGAGAAGTTTAAGAGAAGAACTGGCATCCACAGCGTTGCAAGGCACGGTGAAGCAACAATCTCCAACACAAAGGCAGCAGAGAACTTCATCGGCAACTTCAAGAAGCTCGTAGATTCTGGGGGTTACCTGCCGCAACAGGTTGTTAATTGTGACGAGACGGGTCTCTTCTGGAAAAAGATGCCAAAGTGAACTTATATAACAGCAGAGGATAATGCATTGCCCGGCCATAGGCCACTGAAAGACCGTCTCACGCTGCTATTTTGTGCCAATGCAAGCAGCTATTTGAAAATTAAACCGCTGCTTGTTTACCATTCAGAAACTCCATGAGCCTTCAAGAAGTGTAAAGCCCAGAAGAGCAGGCTAAATGTGATTTGGAGGCCCAACAAGGCTTGGGTGACACGTGACCTTTTTACTGATTGGATCAATGAAGTGTTTGGTCCATCTGTGAAAAAATATTTGCTTGAGATGAATCTGCCACTCCATGTCTTGCTTGTTATGATCAACACTCCTGCCCATCCTCCAGACTTACAAGATGACCTCCTTGAAGAATTTAAATTCATCAAGATCCAGTTTCTGCCTCCCAACACCACTCCATTACTCCAGCCTATGGACCAGCAGGTTATTTCTAACTTTAAGAAGCTGTACACTATATCACTCTTCGAGCGTTGTTTTGAGGTGACTGAAGGGACCAATCTCTCTCAGAGAGTTTTGGAAATATAACTTCCACATCGTTGCCTGCCTCAAGATGATCGAAAAGGTGTGGGAAGGGGTTATCAAGAGAACCCTCACTTCTGCTTAGAAGAAGCTTTGGCTAGAGAGCGTTGTCGAATGTGACTTTGAGGGGTTTGAGATAGTACCTGTGGAGCCTGTAGTCAACAAGATTGTGTCTTTGGCCAAGATCATGGGGCTGGAGGTGGATAACAATGATATCGATGAGCTTGTGAAAAAGCACAGCCAAGAGCTGACCACTGATGAGCTTATGGAGTTGCATTGTGTTTCACAGCAAGAAGTTGTGGAGGNTTATATAACAGCAGAGGATAATGCATTGCCCGGCCATAGGCCACTGAAAGACCGTCTCACGCTGCTATTTTGTGCCAATGCAAGCAGCTATTTGAAAATTAAACCGCTGCTTGTTTACCATTCAGAAACTCCATGAGCCTTCAAGAAGTGTAAAGCCCAGAAGAGCAGGCTAAATGTGATTTGGAGGCCCAACAAGGCTTGGGTGACACGTGACCTTTTTACTGATTGGATCAATGAAGTGTTTGGTCCATCTGTGAAAAAATATTTGCTTGAGATGAATCTGCCACTCCATGTCTTGCTTGTTATGATCAACACTCCTGCCCATCCTCCAGACTTACAAGATGACCTCCTTGAAGAATTTAAATTCATCAAGATCCAGTTTCTGCCTCCCAACACCACTCCATTACTCCAGCCTATGGACCAGCAGGTTATTTCTAACTTTAAGAAGCTGTACACTATATCACTCTTCGAGCGTTGTTTTGAGGTGACTGAAGGGACCAATCTCTCTCAGAGAGTTTTGGAAATATAACTTCCACATCGTTGCCTGCCTCAAGATGATCGAAAAGGTGTGGGAAGGGGTTATCAAGAGAACCCTCACTTCTGCTTAGAAGAAGCTTTGGCTAGAGAGCGTTGTCGAATGTGACTTTGAGGGGTTTGAGATAGTACCTGTGGAGCCTGTAGTCAACAAGATTGCGTCTTTGGCCAAGATCATGGGGCTGGAGGTGGATAACAATGATATCGATGAGCTTGTGAAAAAGCACAGCCAAGAGCTGACCACTGATGAGCTTATGGAGTTGCATTGTGTTTCACAGCAAGAAGTTGTGGAGGAGAGTTTGTCAGAGGAGGAGGAGGAGGAGGAGGTGGTAACAGCAAAGCAACAATCTTCTGGCGCAATAAGAGAAATACTGAAAGTATTGGAAACTGTTGCACAGTACATTGAGAAGCATCACCCTAATAAGGCAGTGGCTATGCGCGCTACAAATTTATTTAATGGTAATGCTGTGTCACATTTTCACCAAATTTTGAAGCGTCAGCAAAAACAAATATCTCTAGACAGCTTTCTAGTAAAAAAGAATTAGATATATATCATAAATAATAAACCAATTATTTCGATTTTTTTTGTTTGCTGCAAATCGAATACACATTCCAGGTTGGTTCATTCCACATAGAAGAAAAGATGAAGATGATTCACGCTCCTTNTCAACACTCCTGCCCATCCTCCAGACTTACAAGATGACCTCCTTGAAGAATTTAAATTCATCAAGATCCAGTTTCTGCCTCCCAACACCACTCCATTACTCCAGCCTATGGACCAGCAGGTTATTTCTAACTTTAAGAAGCTGTACACTATATCACTCTTCGAGCGTTGTTTTGAGGTGACTGAAGGGACCAATCTCTCTCAGAGAGTTTTGGAAATATAAC